TTCAAAATATATATAACTATTTTAATTTTAATTTTTTTCTATAAATCTGATTAATATGAAATTTTGGGTGTAAATACCTAACATTATTGCACACCATATAAAAATATAAAAAACTTATTTTCAATAATTTAAAATGACCAAATTACCCTAATCATTTTTCAGAGGTATTTAGGTCATTTTATATTTTGGAAAATATTTTTTATATATTTTTTAATTGTGCGCCCTATTTTTTAGTAGACACGTCTAAAATTTCAATATGATCCGATTTCTAGAAAAAATATTAAAATATAGTGATATGCATTCTAAACTACATGATGAAGATTTGATCGCTCCCATTCAACCTATATTACTATGCATTATAGCTGCCTAGCTATTGTAAGGTTTACTCATATATATATATATATATATATATATATATATATATGGCACATGAGACTAGGGCACATATAAATAAAAAAAAGTATGGAGAGATTAAAGAGAGAGGAATTATTGAGTAATCTAAATGAAGACTTAACCAAAGTTTGTGAATAAAGTGTTTAAGGAAAGCTGATTAAGAAAATTCTTGAAGGATTTCAAATGAAAAATTGCTGACCCGTATTAACCCCTATTAAAAAGAAAACCAATTTTAGCCCACCCATGTGTCCAACTACTTTAGAAGAAAAGGAAGGCATGCAGAGAATTTCATACAGAAGTGCAGTTAGGTCACTAATGTATGCTATGTCAGGGGTAAGACTAGGTTTATCTTTTGCCATGAGTTTTGATTAGCAGGTTCTAGAGTAATCCAGGCATAGAATACTGGAAGGCCATCAAAATTGTACTGCGACAATTGGGAATCGTTAATTACGCACTCACTTATAGAGGAAAATAGATATGGATATTCAGATGCGAACTATCAGAAAGATCCAGATGAAAGTAAGTCCACATCCAGATATATCTTCACGCTTGTAAGTGGAACAGGTTTTTTGTGCTCAAAGAAACAGGATATAGTTGCACTCTCGACTATGGAGTCAAAGCATGTGACATGTTGTTTCACGACTAAAGAAGCAGTCTTGTTGAATAAGTTCCTGAATCAACTCAGATTTGATCCAGTGAAGTGCCCATGTGTTAGAATCCTCTGCGACAACCAAAGAGCTATAAGCGTATCAAAAAAGCTGAGATTTAGAAATCGAGGCATTTAAAGTTGTGCTACTATCTCATTCGCAATGAGATCCGAGCAGGAGAGATTCAGATTGTATATCTCCCGATTAAGACCATGTTAGCGGATCTTTTGAAAAAGTATTGGTGGAAAATTTTTTTGCCAAACGTGTACATGGAATGGGCTTGAGAGAAATTGAGAGGGAGTGATTGTATGGTCTTCAAAGGCCAAGTGGGAGATGTAGGTTTTTTGTGGCCTTTAAAAGCCTAAAGAACTTGTAAAAAATGGTGTCTATTAGAATATGCACTTTAATGGGAGTGCGTGTGCTGGCTGACCAAAGGTTGGGCAGTTTATGGCTCTAATCATGTCCAAAACCCTTGGCAGGCACAACTGAGAAGAGTTTGAAGTGGGCCATCTTTGTTGAGGTCGGAGAGATACCGAGGGATCATGTTTGTAGGTCAAGAGAACTGTGTGGTCTCCTGTGTGCGGTTATAGGTCTGTAAAAGCAATGGCCAAATCCTCAACAAACTTTCACACGGCATGTACACATAACAACCGCATGAAAAACAACCATTTAGAGGACCACGTGTACATGTGCATTGAGAGAATCCCCTTTGCACTATAGTAACAAGTGTAAGACTTGCTCTTAAAGGGGGAGCTGAAATCCACATTTCAGGATCACTGTCCCACAGTTTATTATCCAACTTTGACAAGCCAATCATGAGCCTATGCAAAAAGATTGTGGGTCATAGAAATTTGTTGGGTTGGATAAGAGGACAGTTGTGGATCATAGTTTCTAGAGCGAGTGGAGTGCCCTTATTGTCACTTATTTTGACTCATTGGTATCAATCCACTCTTAGTATATTTTATTTTGGTATTATATAATTTTTTTTTTAAAAAATATTTTTGAAATTAGGAGAAAGGTGCACTCCCCATTATTTTGATTATATGGTTTAAATTTTAAATTAAGATGGGAAATTTAACGAGATTCAGTTTCCTATCTCTTGTGGGAGATCTAGACAATATTTAAATTTTTTATTTCAAACTGAAATGAGAGATCTAATAAAGTTTAAATTTAATTGGATTTATATTTTAAATAGAAGTTGGATTTATATTTTAAATAGAAGTTGGATTGATTCAAAGTGTAAGGGGATAAGGTCCTTAATTTTTCCACCCAAAATCATGATGGTTGATGTTTAGGGTGGATGGTTCTAATTAATCTCCCACCCCACAGATTTCTTAATAATCCTAAAAGGTTTAGCTGCAAATTAGATAAAGCATTTAGTGAGAAGGAATCCTATTCAAACTAGGTGAAAAAATCTTATTCAAATTAGAAGATGAATTTCTGCTAGATTTTCTTTTATAAAAGGATCTGTTATGAACATCTTTTAAATATGATTAGAGATCCTCTCTCTCTCTCACACCCCAAAAAGTCTCTCTCCCTCTCATGCCCAAAATCTTTCTCCATCACGCCACTTGTCTTTCCACCTTCTCTCTCACATCTCTCTCTCCTATTTTTGACCGTCAAGCCACCTTCTCTCCAGCCTAGAGAGTCACGTACTCTCTCTCTCTCTTGTTGTATTTGAAGTAATTTATTTTTGAAGAAGAAGAAGAGGAGGAATTAAAAGTAGGTTTGCTGTATTTTCCTTGTAGAATGAAGATAGAAGCCTAGCCTAGGGAGATCAACTCCTAAGATTGTTTCCATAGGGTTTCTATAAACACTAGTTTATTTTTTCAGCTCTCTAAAACCCTAGAGAAAGAAGTTTTGCTTATAAAGCTTCGCTATCTTAGTATTTCCTGCAACATATTAAAGAGTAAAAGTGTGTCATTGGTCAGGAAATCAAGTGTGGGGTGTACTAAGTCCTAGTAGGGTAACTCTAGGCATCTTCCCATTAGTTTTTGTTTATTTTTTGTATTATTTTCTATTTTTTGTAAATTTTCAGGAACTTATTTTGTGCGAAGAATTGTAACAAATGATAGAATAAAGGTTCTGGATAATTTTTATTTCTTTTGGTAGTGAAAATAAAGATCCTAGGTTGTATTTAGGGCGTTGTTCTAATTTTCCAGCAATATATTGTGGCACATTTAGGTGGAATTCAAGCATTTGGAATAAAAGTAAAAGAAATTTTTTTTTAATTTAATACCTTGACTTCCACATAGCCACACCAGTTGGGTGATCCGCCTTCATGGTGTACCAAAGACAAGCACTTCAGACCAAGACACAAGGTTTGTGAGCCATTTTTGGAAAACCTCGAGGAAAAAGTTAGGCACTAAACTGCAATATAATAGTGCCTATCACCCTCAAACTGATGGCCAAACCGAGGTCGTGAACCGGAGCCTTGGAGATTTGTTGAGAAGCCTTGCCAAGGACAAGCCTTCTCAATGGCCTACAACAGTTCACTTAATTGGTCCACAGGGAAATCTCCATTTGAGATGGTGTATGGTCATCCACCAAGCAAGGTGCTTGACCTAGTCCCTTTGCCCGAAGGATGCGTAAGCTTTGGCTGAGCACATTCAAGACCTCCATCAACAAATTCGGAAAAGACTACAAAGTGCTATGACAAGTACAAAGCTGATGTCGACTTGCATTGACATGGAAAGACCTTTGAAATAGGAGACTTGGTAATGGTGTACCTTAGGCGTGAGCTTCCCAAGGAGCACTTACCATAAGCTTAAATATAAGAAGGTTGGCCTTGTCGAGTGCTTTAAAAGGTGGGGAAGAATGCCTACAAGATCGAGCTTCCCAATGGATATGAAATTTCTCCTGTTTTCAATATTTTTAATCTCTATGAGTATCATGGGAAGGTTGATCTGGAAGGCAGCGCTAGTACAAGGTAAAAAGGATCTTGGACAGCCGCATCATCTCTACCCACCAAGGAAATTACAGTCAGTATTTAATACAGTGGAAGGGCCAGCCTGATGCGGAGACTTCGTGGATTTCTAAAGAAAAATTGATGAAGGTTGATCCAAAAGCCCTTAAGGAGTTCATTGCTGGTTCGAACTTGAAGACTAGTTCTCTTTAATCCAGGGAGATTGATGAAGAAAATAAAAGATAAGTTTTGATTTCTTTTAGACTGCATTTTCCATTTTTGTTTTGCAGGGGTATTTTGGGGATTTTTCTCTTTAATGGATTTTTCTGGAATTTACAAAAAAATCAGGTTTGTTCTTTTAAATTTTGGGTTGGGAGAAATTATGAGGGAAATTTGAATTTGAAATTGAAATTTTGCTTGGGAAGTGATATTGTGCATGGCTTGGGAAAGTGTATTTTGCATGACTTGGGGAGGGGTAGAGTCCATTTAATGTTCCTAGGAAAGTTAAGAGAGCTTTGACTTTGAAGCCAAGCCAGCTCTATTAAAAAGGGTGACCTTATCCTTCTGGAAATTTATGTTTTTGCTATAAATCTTAGAAAATCAGGAACTCAATTCCCATTTGGATTGTCTTTGGACCCTTATGCAAGTCAATGAAGCTAGGCTTTGTTTGCTTCAAGCCATTGTCTTTGAATCACAGTTAAGTTCCTTTCATTTCTACCTGGTTCTGAATGCTCTCTCTCTCTGTTCCCTACATCATAGCTTCACCCTACTTTTAACACCTGCATGTCTTAGGCCAAAAGGGCATCCAAACATGCATATCAATTAAGATCTTTAAAGTGTAAGCCTGAAAATATACACAGAGTTATTTCTCTATAAAACAATAAATTTATAACACATTCGGGTCTCAGGCACAAATTTATTTAGTGAAATAGATAACTAAAATTAGTCATGAAAGTTGACTGTATGTTTTCAGTTTCTTAAAAGGTCCCTCTGTTGTGCTTTATTTATTTGTATGCTTTTTCCTGATATGGCTCTCAATGTCGCATACTATTCAGATTCATCCAAGTGCACTGAAACATGGAGGACCAGCTCTGGTTGCCGCTTGTATCTCAGCCGCAGAGCAGGCAAATGTGAGTAGCAATTATATTTACAGTGTGTATGTTGCATTACATGAGGCCTTCATATGATATATTTTTGACTTCTTTTGAAAATTAGTTACTAGGACATTCTAACCAATGAATTTAATAGATTATTGTTAGAATTTTGAAATATCCTTTTTGTTGGTAAACAATCAGGAATTTAAAGCTAACGAAAGAAGTAACTGTTTTTTGAGAAATTTGTATCCTGCTAAAACGATATATGTGATCTTCACTTATTTTTGTCCATCAAAAAAGTAGTAACTATTCCATAATAGTGATTTTAGTTTGAATTGGCTATATACAGATGCAGATGGTAGGATCTTCTGTCAAGATATCCTAGTTTCTGTTGTCATTGTGCTGATTTCATTATATTTTCTTTGGTTCACTATGATGGATGTGAACTATGGCTTGGTTCCACAAGATTGCCCTTTCCATACATTCGAAGTATAATGACTATACAACTATCAATTTATATTTACAAATTGGTTTCTATCAATTTATTTTTAGAAATTGGTTTGATTGCAACAATTGTGAGTATTATGAATCTACCTTTTTATTGTATGATAGCATTATAAAAACAGTCAACAAAAAATATTTGTTATTACTGTATTAGATCCATACACCTTGTGGTATGTGAAATTGTTTACTATTGTCATTGTTTTCCAAAGGATTGTTCCGATATATATTTTTGGTTGGAATTCCAGTTTGTCATAACCTTTTTCATGATATGGCATGTGAACTGTCTTACCAATATCAAAAAAATAGAATTTGCATCTGCCTTCATACTAACTTGGATTACTTAACGGAATCAATGCCTATACAGGTTCCAATCACAGTTCACTTTGATCACGGAAATTCTAAGCATGAGTTGTTGGAAGCTCTTGAAATGGTATGTTTCAAAATCCTCATGATGTGTGCATTTCTTCAATCATTGAATCAATGGATCTATTTCTAGCTTGATAGGTCCATTAAACTGCTTGATGGTGCACTTGATTAGATATGCAAAGACGTAACTGATATTTATCTTTCAAAAGATTGGGAAGTTGTTGGCTAAGATCACCAACTTAATTACTCTGATTACAAGACCCTCAAACAAATGAAGAGAACAATTTAAGTTTGAATAAGGTTAAATATCTACAATTTCAGCATGTAATTATCCACAAAACTAAGGAATTGGCTTTAATGCTCTGGAGATGAGATTTCGAATCTAGAATGGAATGAAATCTGTCCTCAAGAAAATCAACTAAAATAAAATTGATTTTAATCAAAATTTAAGGTTAGCCTTCGGCCTGGAGAAAAGAATGGGTAGAGAATAACTTAAAACTAATTCCAGCAGGTATCTTGCAACTATTTCTATGGTTTTGAGGTCAATGGTGTGTAAAATTAGGTGTTTGACTTTAGAGTCAGAATTAAGGTTTAGGATTTCAAGGGTTTTTAGTTTGGTTGATTCTAAAGGGGACCTATGAGTTACTTTTCAGGGTTTTACATGGGGTTATGAATGGGGCTGTTTGCTTTTTCGAGGGTTATGGTAAGGCAAAAATATAAAGAATGAAAAAAATAATAATAATAATAATAAATAATGGGAAAAGAGAGAAAAAACTAAGAAGGGAAAAAGGAATGATGAAGAAAATAAGGAGAGGAAAAGAGGAGAAGAAAAGGGAAGGAAAAATAAAGAAAAAGGACAAAAAAGAGATGAATGGCTAAAAAGAGGAGTTAAAATGAAGGATACCTTAGATTAGAGGGACCTTGGGAAGTGCTACCAAAGCCTTCTTGGCAGTCTTCAATCAAAGGAATCAAGGAACCCTTTCTATGATTTTTTTTTTGTACTAAAAAAGTATCTTAAAAAATAGTAACCGGGGGGCTGGATGTGTCCCAGTCTCCCTTTTTATGTTTGTGACATAAAGAAAACCCAAATACCCTTCACTAAAAGGAAATAGGAAAGGATGAAACTACCCCTCTATTCTCTATAACAACAAAAGATGAATGCCTTAAGGTATAGAAAAATTAAAAGACCAAACAACCTAGTTTCACTCTGTTGGAGTGCAAAATTATACTTATTTTTTGTTTTTATTCAATTTCAAAGAATGTATATTTGATTTTTGTTTTGGGGGTTGATTTTTAAGGTTTTAAGTTTTTTAGGTGTTCTAGGGTTTTCTTATACTTTTTATTTATTATTCACTAGTTACAATTCATAGTTACTTTCATGCTATTGTTCATGAGTACTATTCATGGGTACTGTTCATAGGGGTAAAATTGACATTGCGAATTTTAAGTTTAAGTTACGATATATGGGCCATTGTATTATTTATTTGGACACTTTTTGTACTTAAAACATTAAATAATAAGATAAAGAGGTGCATAGGGGCTTAGGAGAAGGCAGTCGTGATTTTCCAGAATTGAGAAAAAAAGAAAAGCTCAGGCTTTTGCAACCCTAGCTTGGGTGGAGAGAAGAAGCCCTAAGTTTCTTTGAATTGTGCTTGTGTTTGGCTTTGTTTCTTCTTGATTTTATTGTTTTATCAAATTTTCCTTCTTCTCACTCTCCCCAAAGCATAATAAAATAAAATCTCAAAGCCCTAACTGCATCATTAAATAAATCTTATTTTCTTTTTTGCACTAAGTGAGTAAATTAATGCAAAATAGTTAATTTGGTCTCATGGAACGCCACGAGGCTCTTTTCAATGGAACTATAGCATGCTTGTTATAATGTTATCGATTTTGACCTATTGCATATACTTGAACATTTTTCTTGTTCTGTGCAAGTGTCTTTAGTCTAATGAATCAGCATTTTTCCAGATAAGAATCATTTCTAATAGTTGTTACTTATAGTTGCTTCTTTTGGATCATTCAAATTTTTGTCTTTCCGTCTAGCGCCTTTCTTATGTTCCACTGAATTGGGAGTTCTATTTTAAATTTTACTAGGGATTCCACTCTATTATGGTTGATGGTTCACATTTTGCTTTCGAGGAAAATGTCTCATTCACAAAGTACATATCGGCCATTGCACACTCAAAAGACATGACAGTGGAAGCTGAACTTGGACGATTATCAGGAACTGAGGATGACTTGACAATTGAAGATTACGAAGCAATGTTGACTGATGTTGCTCAGGTCACTGCGAACTACAATTCAAACTTCTTAAACCATATGAGTTCTTTTTTATATTTTTTTCAGCATATGAATGGTTGTCAGCCTATTCCAGTCTCAAGACTTCATACACAAAACTGGTGTTGACGCTTTGGCTATTTGCATTGGAAATGTTCATGGAAAATACCCTGCTGGTGGCCCAAAGCTCAAACTTGATTTGCTAAAGGTTAGGTATTTGATTAGCTTTTAATAGTTGTTTATCCGATTTCAAATAGATATTAAGTAATGGAAGTGTTCTTTTCATCGCAACTGTTGGGCATCTATTTAAATTGGTATATTGCATGAGATGTTCTTACTTATGAAAACGTAACTAAACTAAAATCTGTAGCACGTTGCTGTCTTCATCTCCGCCTGTTTTGATTTAAAGTTAGTATTTGCTATATCAGCTTGCATTGCCCAATCATTTCAAGGACTATTTGAAATTCTTTCAATTTACATTTGCTCCTTTGGGAATGTTGAATACACCTTAAAAGGCTACCGTTTGTGCTGGATGAGTCCTACTGTCGTAGTCAGTCTACTGATTGGGAGGGATTTGTGAGCTCTCTCATACTTAAGATAAAATTCTGGAAAGATGCTTCAACTGGCCTCCTCCACATATGTGAGGATGACTCCTTGAAACATAGATCTAGATCCCTCTTAACATTAAAAATTTAAACTACAAGGATGCACGTACATTCTCAACCATGTGCATTGTAGAGTTGTCATTCTCTTATTGTATAGTATGGAGATTTTGTCTCATCAAACATTATTTATCATCATAGTATTTTGAACTTTTAAGTGCATCCAAGTCCTAAGGGCTTCATTAGGGCTGGAAATTTACCCAGACCCAACCCGAGACCCGACTACCCGACCCGATCTGGGTCCAGGTATGGGTGCAAGATTTTGACTCGCTGGGTTGGATCCGGGTCCATATTTTTGACCCGAATGGTAAATCGTGTCGGGTCCAGGTCTAGGTGGACCCGCCCCAGACCCAACATAGTAATTATTACATACTCTTTTATCTTCTTTCGGCACTCTTTTGTTATGTATAAAGGTTATATATATTAGTATATATTATTTTATATTTTTTTCATTTTTCTTTGCAGATCTTCTTATTAGTCTTAAAATGAGAAAATTTATGAATTATTGCCCAAATCTTCTTATTAGATACTTGCATGTTTTTGGTAATTTTTAATAATTTTTGGCTAATCATTTTTAGGTTATTTGTAAATTTTTAGCTAATTTTTTATTGTTTTATATATAATTCGTCGGGTCTGGGTCCGTGTAAGGGTCCTCCAAATAATATTCGAGTCTGGGTTTGGGTCTAGATCAGTATTGTTATATTCACCTCACTTCGGGCGAAGCACCCAAAGTCTTCAGATTTCCCCCAACCACCGAAGTGAAGCGAATAGCAACTCCGTTTTCAATGTTTCATATGATATTTCGCCATATTCAAAATGAAATTGCAGCGTCTGTCTCCTCTAATCCAACTACATGAGGCGCATGTTACAACGTACACCAACTCACCAAGTACGACCTTGTCCCACGTAGCCCCATCCCTCTCAATTCGTCATTCCAAGTAGCACCTTACCTCATCTTTCGTCTTTATAAAATTCCACTACTGTACTGTCCTCTTTTACTTTTATTAAAAGAAAATAATTTTTTACCAAGCTACCTCTTTGTCATATGAAAACGGTTACATCCTCACAAGCATAAAATAAAATGAATGTATTTCTTTTCTTTATTTTTAGTATTTTATTTTGTTTATTATTTTAATGTTATCTGTATATATAAATGTATATTTTATTTATATTAGTCCTCCGCTAAATTGGCCAAAGCACCGAATTGCTTCATTTTTCTGACCAAACCGAAGAAGGCGCCGAAGCGAATCTGACAACATTGGCCTAGATATTTTGGACCCAGTCGGGTCTGGGTCCAAGTCCGGGTCCCATGTATGGATTTTAGGTCTGGGTCCAGGTCTTGGTCCAGACGGACCCAGACTCTACCTAACCCGTTCCCACCCCTAGGCTTCAGTATTCATTCACAAGAACCATTAACTCTCATCCATGTTTTTGATAAATGGTGTCAACCATCATGAAACTAAAAATCTAGAGCTTATGATTGATAAAGCGCCTCATGTGAAATTTGGAGTCCATTCAAACATCTTCAAGTTCCTTTCCTAGATCATACAAGTTCTACCCCTGTCCAACTAACGCAACGATACTCTTTAGTTTAATGAGGCTGCATGAAAGAATGAAGCAGTTGGACATCCTCTGAAGACGAGAAAAGGAAAAAAGTAGGGCTGATTCAGCTGCACAGTCAATCCTCCCCCCATGTGTGGGGAATCCACACATCACAAATGAGACCTGTAGGTGCTTCTAATGTGCTTGAATTGCCATCCAAGTTTCAGCCCCAATGGGGCTTGTAGAGTAGAAATTTGCTATATATATTGTTGGGTTTGAATCATAGCTTTTTATCCCTTTCTTTAATTCAGGTCCATGAAAGTCCATGTTTGGCAATTGGTTAGCGTGCCTCATCATGCTAGTGTTTCTGTTCAAGTTCATGTGCAATCAAAGAAATTATTTGTGAGATCAGATTGTGTTCTTTCTCTACCTTTCTCTACCCTATTACTACCCTAGTTCTACTGCTTGTTATCCTGGGCCCACAATTTTTTGTGGAAGGACACCAAGAAAGCTATTTCCATTGCAAAATCCCTCTCTTCTTGGACAAGACCATCATACAAGTAATCTTTTGGGCTACTTTTGCTGCATGTCCTCTAAAGAATTTGAATCAGCAACTTGTGATATTTTATTCTTAAGAAAAAACAGCCAATCAATCTTTGGACATTGAGAATATACTAACAGAGTAAAACGAAATATTTTGTCGGGCTGCACTCCTGGTGGTGTTTTGGGTATCTCCACTGTCAAAGTCCATAACTTTCTGTCTGGTATCCAATTAATATTATCATACAGTAGTACCTCTCAAAACGATCATGCCAAAGACTCAAAGCAGATATCCTCTCAAATCTGGCAAATAAGTATTTCCATCATATGGGTTCCCTTATGCAGAACTGATAACCTCTCAAATTTTGTAATCAACTTTTTTAAGCTGACCTAGTATGCTATTGGAGATCGGTCTGGAGCTGCCTTTCTAGACCACTAAGTTCTGCCAGAAATATAAAATTGGCCACGTGGAGCAACCCTAGCCTCAATAAAATCCATAAGCAGTAATGTTGAATGATCGAGTGCAAGCTGCCTTCACTGTTATTTGACATTTCTTACTTCTTAAAACCTCTAAATGATTTGGTAAGTAGTAAATTATTTCTTGGCTAGATGTCATAACTTTCAAGTAAATTTTAAGGAAAAAAAGAGCCAAAATTTTGGTGTATATCTATGCAAAAATTGCTTTCTATGTATTATTGGCAATGTGGCTTGTAACAGTTATAAGAAAAAGTATTCAAACCAATAGGTTAGGGCGGTCGATTCTAACATGTAATATTATGTAATTCTATGTTCCTTTGTGTTGCTGACCTACTATATACCATCCAGGATTTGCATGCTGTCACATCAATGGAAGGGGTTTTTCTGGTTTTGCACGGTGCATCAGGTTTGCCTTCAGAAGTTATAAAGGTAACCCAAATTCTTTCATTTGCTGCAGAATCAACAAAACAAAATCCTTATCACATTCTTTCTAAGTTCAAGAAGACATGTCAAAGAAATCTAATTGTTATTCTTAGATGAATGAGAGAGTTGGATAGCCTAAAAGAACTGACTGGACATGTAGAGCATACAGGATATGATTACCTGTCACCTGAAGGAGGTAAATTGAAAACTGTATTTCATCAATGCCTGCTTAAAACTAGGCTGAGGTCCGTAACAAAGTCCAGGCCTTCATAAAATTATGATAGCCACAAGAAGAAACACTTGATAATGCTTAGGTAATGCATAATTTCCATTTTCGAAAAGGCATGCACAGGAACAGATATAATCTGAACCTTGCATTTACAAGTTACAGTGGCTGGCTGTGCTTTACTTTTATGAAATTCCAGAGGCATTGATTATGATACTGATATGAATTATTCGTCAGCCATAAAATATCTTCCCATACTTGTTATTCTCGCCTTGCACTGTTCTCCATAGTGTTTAGGTAATTAATAGTTTGGTTAAGAACACCCGATAATGGTTGGGTGATGAATATTTCCATTTCCGATAAGGCATGCACAGGACCAGATATAAGCTGCAGCTTGCATTTACAAGTCACAGTGGCTGGCTGTGCTTTACTTTGATGAAATTCCAGAGGCATTGATTATGACACTGATATAAACTTTTCCGCAGCCATAAAATATTTGCCCATACTTGTTGCTCAAGCCTTGCACTGTTCTCCAAAATTATAGTAACTTTTACTGCTTGCGCTATCTAGATCTTCACTTTAATGAAGTTCCTTTACATCCAACATAGCATTGTATCTCAATTCACTGGAAATAAAGATCTAAGAAGTTTTGAATCCAAATGCCAAACTACCCATAGAACAATTAAGCTCTAGGAAATTTAGTTTAGCATAGAATTTTTGGACACTTTTGTTGTCTATTACCCGGTGGCATTCTCTTCTGGGGAAAAGTTCTCATTTTATATCAGCAATTATTTGATGTTTGACAGGCATGCATAGAAAATGGCGTGCGAAAGTTCAATGTTAACACTGAAGTACGGAATGCATATATGGAATCCCTAAGAAATCCACAAAAGGATCTCATTCATGTCATGTTATCAGCCAAGGAAGCCATGAAAGCAGTAGTTGCAGAGAAAATGCGGTTATTTGGTTCTGCAGGAAAAGCTTAATGAGCACCCCTCTTGAACTCTATTAAGTGGGCATCGATTTTTTTTTTTTCTGCAATCTTTGTTCATACGATCTCACAACATTCATTGGACATCACCGAAATAGTTTATGCGGTTTCCAAACCATTGGCTATAAAGTTGATAGATATGCCCTACAAATTCTGATTATTACTTTTTTAAATGTATGATTTTTTACTGCTATTGAATTTTACATATTGTTCTAAGTTTTTGATAGATTTTGAGGAATTATAGATGGTAGAGAGAAACAGAGGAATGAAATCTGTGACCCATTTGCATTAACAATAATGAAACCCTAAAAGGGTTTATATACAATACATATTTATTTTAGACCAAACTATCCATGTACAATATATATTTATATACACATTATTACCACCCTACCCTTTAAGCTGATGCGGACGTAAGTAAAGCATTAGCTTGTCCACGAGAAAATCATGGAGTTTTTGAGAAATTGATTTGGTGAAAATATCAACATAATGGTGAGATAAGTTAGCGATCGTGAATATAATGCAATCCATAGTAATATGTTGTGTTCTCTCATGAAAGACGGGATTAAAAGTAATTTTAATCGCACTTTGGTTATATGTATATAAATGTGTGGGATTTGAAATAGAGATATTAAAGATTAAGAAGAGCACGAACCTATATAATTTCACTTACAACAAAGGCCATAGCACGATACTCAGTTTTTGTGCTTGACTTGGAGTGTGCGTCTTGTTTTTTGCTCTTCCATGATATTAAAACATAATATATTGTAGTAGGACGTTAAGTGTCTAGATCACCTGTCCAATTGGTATCTACATGTGCATTGAGATCTAAAGAGGATGTGGAGACAAAGAATAATCCATGATTGGAAGTACCTCGAATATAACACAAAATTTGGTGAATTGCTGATGGATGTGGTTGTTGAGGACATGAAACAAATTAGCTCACAACGTAGACAACATATGCAATATATAGGAGTGTCATATGAGATAGATGAAGGAGCCTATGAGTTTGTGATACATTGTAAGCTTAGGAAGATGGTCTCCAACATGTGTAGAAAGTTTAACATTGAGTTTCATGGGTGTATCAACAACCTTCACATCATTTAATCGGGCACTAGAAATAAAAGCAAGTGCATACTTTTGTTGATAGATATAAATACTATGCTTAGAACGAGTGATCACAAGGCCAAGGAAGTAAGATACTTATTCAAGGTCCTTCATTTGATAGTCTTCTTGCAATTGTAGCATCACATATTTGATGGAAGTGAAACCATCTCCAGAGATGCTTAAAGCTCGACAAAGAAGTGTATGGTACTTGCCAATTCATGGGACAAGCAAACTTAACTTCGATGGAAGCTCACATGGACACCTAGGGGCAGCAAGTTATGGTGGGGTGATTAGGAATTCTAGTAGTTAAGTTTTATCGTGCTATGGTGGACCATGTGGGATAGCAACTACAAATGTTGTTGGGATGGAGGTTGCACTTTAAGGCATGTGCATACTACTACAACGATTTAGGAACTATCCGTGTATTGTTGAAGGTGAGTCTTTGAATATTATTAATTGGTGCAAAATGGAAACGAGTTCACCATGGAAGTTAAGGAGTAAATGGATGGAAGTTATGGATATTAGTAACCAATTGATTATAACTTTCTAGCATGTGTACAAAGAGGCAAATGCGATGGCAGATGGTCTTTCAAACAAAGGAGTTGAGATGGATGCATTATTGATTAGTAAAGAACTTTTTATTTGATTTCTATTCGCAATTGTAATACTTTTGAGTTATTAATGAAGTAAATGTGCTCTTGTCAAAAACAAAAAGGGGGGAGGAGGGGGGAATCATCTCCAGAGATGAAAATATTAACATATAGTAAAATAATACAAATGACACGCATTGTGGTACGAATAACCATAGAGTGATCATGTTTATTTTGAATGAAAGAAATTGCAAGAATGACAGCCCGAAAATATTCAAACCAGGCACATGGAGTTTGTTTAATACCATAAATTTCCTTACGAAGTCGACAGACCAATGATGTATATTAAGCAGCAAACCCAAGTGGTTGGCACATATAAACTTCTTCTTGAAGCTCTCCATTAAGAAAATCATTTTTGACATCCATCTGTCATATAGACCAATCACGAATTGATGCTAGTATAAGAAGAGTATGAATTGTAGTTAACTTAGCAACAAGAGCAAAAGTTTCTTCATAATCAGTGCCTAACCTTATGCAACTAATCATGTTTTGTGCCAGTCAAGGATGCCATCAACTCGTAACTGAACCTTGTAAACTCATTTACTACCAATGACATGCTTGTCAGGGGGCAAAGAAACTAAATCCCAAATGTGGTCCGCCTCTAAAGTTGTGATTTCCTCATTAATAGCCATGCGCCAACATTGAAGTTTAAATGCTTGGGAATAAGAGGATGGCTCATAAAATAAAGGGTTCGTAGTAGTTGTTAGAAAACATGTATTAGATGAGCTGACCACCAGCAAGTTAAGATGATCAGAAGGAACAAACTTATGAAGAGACCATTGAAGTTGCTGAAAGACAATAGGAGGATAAACAATTTGAGGTGATATATGATCAGCAATAGGAATAGAGGTCAATGGAACTCATTGAGTATAACTACTTATAGAAGTCTTTCTATGAGCCTGATGCCTTTTTCAGCAATCTGCAATTACATGGCCAGACTTTTTGCAATAATTGCAAAAAATGTTGCTTCTTATAATGAGAAGTTGTGTTCTTTCTGTCTACATATTTTGCATTGTACATGGCCATAGTTGAAACCCTTGTTAGGGCCATTGGGTATAATTAAAGCCACATCAATGATATCCTAAGAACTGAATTTGCAAATCCCAATAGAGCCTAAACGAGTCTTCTCAGCAAGGAGATCTGAGAGGGCATCATCTAGTGATGGAGTGGGAGTGTAGTGAAGAATTGATGCTATCATGTTTCTAAACTCTGATCGCAACCCTATTAGAAAATGAAATAAACGAGTTTGATTTCTTGCTTTAGTATCTCCCTCATTAGATGACTTTGTCTCCATTGAGTCCATCTCGTTCCATAAACTTGAGTGAATTGAAATAGTCTTGGACAGAGTAATCCCTTTGTGTTTTCATGCTTTCTTTTTCCAATGCATAGAGACGAGTCGTGTTCATTTGAGTAAATCTTCTTTAAATAATCCCATATGGCTTTGGCATTAGGTTGATATGTGAGGTTGCATCCAATTTTGTGCTCAATCGAATGTACAATCCATATAACAATGCAACTATTAATAGCAAACCAATCATTGCGCTCTTTCTCATTGGTAGGTTGGGGTATAGAGCCATCAACATAGCCCCATAACTTTCTTCCTATAAGATAGTGTCGCATCTGGAAAGACCACAGGCCGTAGTTCTTCCCATCAAGGTGTACAAAAATGATAGCATTCTCTATATTATTCTTGGATCTCATGACAGGAGAGAGAGAGAGAAATTAAGTGGGTTGAGAGAAGTAGTAGTAATAGTCGACCAATCAGTTTTCATCAAATCAGAAGAAAAGAAAAGAAAAAATAATGACTAGGAGAAGAGAGAGAATTGATAATGGACAAATATTTTGGAGAGACGTAAAGAAGAGGCAGAAGTGCACTCGCCAAAAAAAACAAGAGGAAAAGCCTTTTATGTGTATGAGACGTGAGAAAGAGGGTGCAAAGAAAGACTCAAATCAAAGGTTCAAAGGCCAAGGTGCAAAGGAAGACTCGCTCAAAGGTAGGACCACAGTCATCGGTTTCTCTCTCTATACTTGAGCAAAAGAGTGTAACCAAAACTGGTTGAAAAGAATATCACTAGTACAAGGGAAAACCCACACTGATGAATTTTCTCTCTCTCGCGCAAACACAAACAAATCTCTATTTATTATGTAAAGCTTGATAAAAAATCAAGCTAAAAAAGTCGATCCATTAATTGACCTTCACAGAAATATGATGCTTTGTGTGCACCAACAGTTGACTCAGTAAATAAGTTGCACGAGCAATGGCTCTATTACCATGATAGATTTTGATTGAAGTGTAGATAGTAGAGATAAACATAGAGGAATGGAATTTGTGGCCAATTTACATTAACAAGAATGAAACCCTCAAAGGCTTTATATACAACAAATATTTAGTTTAGACCAAACTATACCTACACAAATATACAATAATAAAAAACAAATGACATACATCCAAAAAATTATATATTTTATTTAGGAAAAATTACAAAATACACCCTAAAATAAACTATCTACGCAACTTACAACCACCCCAATTTTTTCTCACACTTTTTTCTCCCAAACAACCTTTTCTCGCAAAAACCCCCCAAGATAAAAAGTTCTTAATTTTTGAATGAAAATACCCTTCTCGTACAAACCAAATCAATTCACGATCCCAAGTAGCGTACTGCCGGAGCGCAGTATACTACTGCCGAAGTGAAATGTCGAGAAGCACTGCCGAAGCATGGGGCTACATTGCCAGAGCGCTATGGCTCCAGATACTTCATTGCCGGAGCGAACTGTCGAAAGCGTATTTTCAGTGCCGGAGCTTTGTGGGTCAGACAAACGACTATCAGAGCACACACTGGTATTGCCGAAGCACCCATTCAGAATGACGGAGCGCAGTCCTCCATTGCCGGAGCATTGTGGCTCCAGAGGCTTCATGGCCGGATCGGACTACCGGAGTGTGTAGTAGCACTGCCGAAGCACAGTTCTCAGTATGCCAGAGCGCTACGGGTAAGACAAAGCACAGTCGGAACGCACATTTTTACTGCCGGAGCGGTGTGGCTCCAGTGGCTTCATTGTCGAAGCATGTAGTAGCATTGTAGTAGCACGTTATCGGCGTGCTGGAGCGCTGTGGGGAAGCCAGCACTGCCGGAGCACATATTGTGACAGCCAGAGCAAGTGTCTTTACTGTCGGAGCACAGTTCTCCATTGCCGGAGCGTTGTGGCTCCAGAGGCTTCATTGCCGGAGCGCACTGCCGGAGCGTGTAGTTTCACTGCCAGAGCGTGCTATCATAATGTCGGAGTGCTCTGGGTCTGTCAAAGCACTACCGGAGCGCAGTTCTCTATTGCCGGAGCGCATTGGCTCCAAAGACTACATTGCTGGAGTGGACTACCGAAGCGTGTAATTGCACCGCAGGAGCGTGTAAATGCACTGCAGGAGCGTTTACTAATGGTGCCCAATCCATCCAAATGACAAATGGTGGAGATT